AAGATGGTAGCAATGGGTAGCATGGGGTAGCATGGTGCAGGCACGGTAGAAGAAAGTACAGAAGATGGTAGCAATGGGTAGCATGGGGTAGCATGGTGCAGGCACGGTAGAAGAAATTACAAAAGATGGTAGCAATGCGTAGCATGGGGTAGCATGGGTCGTATGGTATATACAAGAGAGGAGCTAGATATAATATATTTCGCCGAAAGCAAATGGAGCCTCTACCACGAAAACAGACCCTCGAGTTCACTCCATTACTCTGCAGCGGAAGTTCGCCAAATTTTACATCGTACATGATATTCCTGCGGTGGATTCAAGGAGACGAGGAGTGAATCTCCTGCGAAAAGGTGACATTAGGCCCACAGAGATCGTGTCAGTTCTCCGTGATGGTGTCAGAGATGAAGCAGATTCGTTTGCAAATGACGAGCCGAGACGAAGATGGGGGAGGCCGGGAGGGGGAGGGAAAGGGGAAGAGGAAGGGCGGGGAGGGGGAGTGCGAGCGCAGTCTCAGAGCTGCACGGGTGGGGTCGAGTCGAAGACGTAGAGTGTGCCTATCGATCGCTGTGCTGCATCCAGTCTCGGTCGGGTCCAGGGACGTTCAGTCCACGATTAGACCGGAATCCACAGCGGGAGGCTACGTGTGGCTTCCCTCGTCCCCGTTCTCTTACAAGGATTTTCCTCGCGTCTTCGAATTCGGAAGAGGAAGTCCGGTGTTTCCATCGAGGAATCCTCGCGACCTTAAATGCAACAAAGGAGGACGTCAGTCCAAAGTGAGTTTCTCCTTCCTGGCTTTTGACGTGCCTCGCCCCGCCGATTCTTTCCGATTTTATTTTCGAATTCGAAGTATGGAACTGGTGTAGAAAAGGTTTGTGTAAAAGTATAGTCTGCTACGCGCAACCAACTTTATAGTGAAAAATAAAACATTAAAAACAATGGGATCTGAAATTCTCGTGTGTACTACGCACATGTCTTGTAAACGCCCCTGGCAATGCGTCCTGGCTCGACCGAAGGAGGGGGAAACCGCGGTAGAGCCCATCGCGGGCCATGCAAAAACCAAGCGAAGAGCCCCCTCGCGTGCCCCGAGGCAGGTCGATCGGCTTTCGGCGTCGACAAAACAGGCACGTCCAGCGACATCTACCCGTGCACTTTTCGTTTACTCGGAATTCGTAGAAGACTTTGACGATTCGGGAGTCCTTTCGCCTTGGCCCTCGACACGGTCGAGGAATTCCAAGCGAAAGAGCAAACACCACGACGGGGAGTGGGAATTCACACTCGGATCGTTATCTCGAGGAATTCCGTGCAGCTCCTGCGCTTACTGTAAACACCTTCACGAATGCCCCTCGCGTCCTTGGACCGCTTCGATGATGACCCCACCCCCGGAGCAGAGAGGCGACCGAACCTTTTCCCAGCCTTTTCCAAGCCCTTGAAGGCCCGTGAAAGTCCTTAAAAATGGGTGCGGGTTCGCGATGCTCGCGTCGCGTTGTCATCATAGCGAAGCCGGATTTCTCCTTCAGAATTCTCTCGCGATTGAGCGCAAAATGACGTTTGCAATAAGTGTTGAGGCCTTTGCGACTCTGGGAAGTGCGCATCGCATGGCAATCGGGGAATCATTGGCTCGATGGAGTAGATGCACGAGAACTCTAGGAGAATTCAAAAAATGCTTCAAGTGGTCAAATATGAAGGCCTGAGCCCCTGTGCATCGAGCTTAAAATTTTGTTCGGTTTTGATAAGCTTATGGTGAAGCAATGATCGGTTGCGAAAATGTCTACATGAATTCACACAGAGAACACAGACCAGATATGCGCTATATTTAAAAAAGAACCATTTAATTTCAAACTTGAATACCTGAACATTCTGAAAACAGCAGGACAAAAATAAAAAGAGAGCTCAACTCGATGATTTCTTTTCTGCTGTCTATTAATTGTTGCCCACAGATTCCATCCGAAACGTGGCCATCCGAATTCAGAAATGCCAACACAAAATTGGCAACGGTGTGAATTGAGAGGCATTTTTGTATTCGTTGCTGAAAAAGCAAGAGTGGCCATTTTTTTCATTGTCCTGCATGCCCTTTAATTGTGTTGCTTGATCCTAAAGGCCGTTATTAAATAAATAAATAAAAACTCCAAGTTCATCTCTTCTGATGCCGGTAAGGAATAAGTTTAAAATTCGTTAATTTTGGAAGAACCTTAGAGTGGATTTTTAAGCAGAATTAAAAAATCCACCATTAATGTATACTGCCACTCTTCAGTCCTTTCCAGATTCGCCGACTGAATGGTATATAATAAATAAATAATAATAATAAACTTTTTCTTTTAATACGTTGAAGGCTATTCCGGAAATCCCTCCCATAGATCGCGTGTACCGGTTCTCTCTCACCGCGAAGACGGTAAGGTCAGAGAGCATCTAGGGCTTCCCGCTGAGCATTTAGACCCACGTGAAACGACGAAGTGGAGAACCAGTTTCATGCGTGTCTCTCACTTATCTAAACAACCTGTTATTTCGTCTCGATAGAAATCACTGCGAGTGACGAAGTCGTGCCAATTGCAGGTTTGGTGTCGGTACTCCATAGACTGAATATTGAAGGGAGAAGAGGTCGAAATTGATAGAGGCGTGGTCGGGACCGTCTCCTAGCGTTTCACGCGACGGAAGTCCGGAAACCCATTCCTGCGAAGGAGCCTATCGCTTTCATCGACTTGCGATGGTGGAAGGAGTCGGTGCACGGGACGCGCGCATCCGTGGGGGATATAGCCGCGGGGGAAAGAGATACGTCGCAGTTGGGCCAGTGGAGCCGTGGAGTCAGGTTCACTCTCGCATTCGTGTTATCGGCCTTTCAGCGGGCTGTGGCTTTCCATCCGCATTCCTCTTCTCGTTCGGTGTTTTCATCTCTGTTGAATGCCAGTCGTGGCTGGGTTCAGGGCAGATTGCCGTGATTTTCGCGAGTACCATCACGAGGAGCCTCCGTGCGTGGCTTCCCTGCGTTTTCAGTCGTTTCATGACGGTTCGGGTCCTCGTTTCTCCTGGTCTCTTTTTGAAGATCGTCTCGTTCACGTTGTCGTTTCGTCCGCAGACCGGCTGCATGTATTGAGGGTGTTTGACGGCCCTCTGAGATTCGGCGGGGGGAGAGGTAACGGTGGTAATCCCCCTTCCGTCCTTCCCTTCGGGAGTCGAGTTGCTTTCTCGCCACGTGGTGACCAGATCGCCTGGATTCATGGCCCCCGACTCGTCATTCTACTTCAGTGAGACACTTTTAGTTTCCCTTTCGTTGCATGTGATACGCAGGCCTTATCCGAAGAGGGTTGCGAAGTGCTTGGGTGGTCCAAAAAAAAGTGAATCAGGTTATTAACTTTTTTTAATAACCTGATTCAGCAGCATATGCAGCAATGTACATTACATTTGAGGATCTGCTATTTTGGATGTACGTATTGCACGAAGAGTAACACCTTGTACTTTTTTCATATATGCATGAAGTAGAGTGAAAATCATTTTTCAAAGGCTTTCCCTTTCTTCAACCTCCTTCCCCTCTCTACAGGACTCACTAACGGTAGGCCTAGGTCTAACTCGCGGACTGTCTTTGTCAGGCCTAGACCTAGGCTTACCTATTTTCGTTGAAATGTATCTCGATCCTCGACTTACAGGGCCAATAAGACCTATAAGGGTCAATCTCGGGGCTTTCGAGATGTCTCGCTGAGTATGAGTAACATAATGCAGATTACGGGCTGATAACTTTCGCGAAGCATTTCAGAGGGGACGTGTTATGTTGAACCGATTATGCTCCTGTTTCGAGTTTCACGAATCATTTTAGTGAGGACTGTAACGTTAGACTTATCTGGAGTTACTCGAACCATCGCAACGAGGTCTGAGGCTTGACTTGGACCTGGTGAGTGTATGCCCCACGAGAATGAAACGCATGGTGGACGCCATCACGAGTGACGATGTCCATGCACGGTATTTCCATATCGTACCTTATCAAATAGCCACCGCTGACCATTGCTTCAGTCTCACCACATTCCAGGAACTCGGCAAAAACGTGTTTCAAGCAAAAAAAAAAGATGATCCAGACACCGATACGAAAGCTGAAACAATCATGAGTCCCACTTCGTTCCAGCACGATATCCGGCAACCGTGGGGGACGGGACTGAAGCCAGCGTTAAGCCTCAATGAACGATAACTGATTTAATTTAATTAAAATGACAAAATGATGCATCGCAAACAGCAAAAAGGGCACGTTTCTTAATCTACAAGTCAATATCTTTTGGTTGGTCCTTTCGACCCAAAAGCCCCCGGGGAGAGGGGGATGTTAGGCGTCTTAATGTTCCCCACAACCCCGGGGAGAGTAGCTTCAAATTTGCTGGAGCGATTCTGTGCTAAGAGAGGAAGAAACATGCCCAAGTTCGTTCCTGTAGATGCTCCTAAAGAGGAGTACGAGGAGGTTGAATTCTGTTACGGGATGGGGGTGAAGAAAGGTAAATAGATGCTACCGCGTCTATCAAATTTTTTTGTTGTTGTTTTAAATAAACGCGCAAACTATAACAACGGATTTTCAATTTCTGTGCCCCCTGTACAAGCAACGAAGAAGTGAAAGCCGGTTTCTTTTGTGTTTTGTGCGCGCCAGGATCGAGACGGGATCGGGTTCACTGGAAGTGAGCCGAGAGTTGTTGATCCAGACGGACTTGGCTGTGGTGAGTTTGAACTTTGGCCTGGGATGCCCTGGGTCTCCGTTCATCACGGGTCATTGGAGATATGGCGATCGAGAGGAGACAAACGGAGTCATGCTTGCCACCGGACATAACGATGGCGCAATTCGCATCTGGCACTCCATATCTGGTTAGTCTTTTTTTCTTTCCCCTCCCCTTTTTTGTGGGGGGGAGGGGGGGGGGAGAGCTCAGAGCATGGCCAATTGGCATGATTTCTGGTGGCCTTCTGAAGTTCAAGGGTGCCTAAGATGACATACTTTATCATGGCAAAATCTGAGACTGAGTACATTGAATTCGTGACGAGTTCGTGGATGGAGCTGAGTGGCAACATTTATTACCTTCATGCACTTGGCAGTCGTAGGACTTATCAGTACATGTGTGCAATGGCAGTGAAGAGAAGCACCCAGTGCTGGTCATCGACCAAACCATTAAACCTTGGTTGCGTCTGCGAGATGGAGGGAAGTAAAAAAAACAAACCAGGGTGCTTCTTCCTCCCGGCCAGGCTATGGGCGTGACCTTGAATACTTTCATAAAACGGGAGCTGCTCGGCCCATGACGTAGAGGCCTGCACGGGAGCTTCCTTTACACCCCCAAGACCATGGTGGGCGTTGGGACGCCCGCGCGGGATCCTTGTTTATGCCCGAGAAGGCCTCTAACGCCAAGCCTCTCGAGCGGAGCGACTTGCGTCAACGTTGGGGAATGAAGGAATGCAGGGATACCACGAGGACTCTGGTTGGAGGACTGCCAGCTGGCTTTTACTTGTTTATAAAGAAGGATGTAGATTGCGTTTGTACTGTCTTTACTGTCTGGACGTGGAGGGACACTCGACAGCTGGAAATGCGCCCGATCGAGTCGCCTTTCGAGAAATCGATCTCGCTCCACCAGTATGCAAAAGTGGCTGAAAGAGTCTGCACTGTAACTGTTTTGCTTGCTCGCGGCGGCTGGAGTTTCACATAACCGTTTCGTATTATGTGTTTATGCACGATGCACTACGCCGAAGAAAGAGTCAGACGCCCTGACGTCGCTGAAATACAAGCACCTGAAATATGAATTTTGCCCAAGAAGCTTGATTCAGCCTAGCCATTGGGGCAGATTTTCATCAAATTTAGGCAGCTATGTTGGGATTTCCAACAAGTTCTTGGTATTTGAACGATGTGATGTTTACCATCTCGTATTTCAGTCGAGAAGGCTATTATGTTTTCGTGTGAACTGTGACAGGGAGGTTGCTGTTGAAGCTGGCGGACCACACGGGTCCGGTGACCGAAGTGGCCTTCGCCCCCGACCAGTCCATGCGCCTCGTTTCGGCATCGAAGGACAAGACCCTCAAGGTCTGTCCCTGTCGCTAGCTTCAATTTCCTTTTTTTCCCAACTCGTCGACCGCGGTTTCGTTCGCAGGTGTGGGATCTCACCGACGATGGGAACATGTTCAAGACCCTGCGCGGCCACGTGAACGGGGTGACCATGTGTGCCTGGTGCCCCTCGGGACGACTCATGGCGTCAGTTGGCTCCGGCAAGAAGGTCTCGTATGCTTGTCCTATCTAGTCCACTTGCCTTGTCTGTCAATTACGAAAAAAGATCATGTACTTGCTCTTTTCTTTATACTTCTGGGTTGTTTTTTTTTTTTTCGCTCTCTCCTGACTGGCGAGGGGCTTTTCCAAAATCCAAGTACAGTATTTCTTTTTGTTCACTAGGCTTTGCACCATGTTTGCTTTTTTTCTGTTTTCACAAATATGTGAACTCATTATATGAAAAAAAAGATGATTGTATCTGCCAGTTGTTTGACCGTTGTGTGAGTTATTAAAATCGATTCAACACAGGTGATAATGTGGGACATGGAGGAGTATGGGATGCGCTGGAATTCAGCAGCTCATCATAACCAGATAAAGTCGTGCCAGTTCTCCCCGGACGGAGCCTTCTTGCTAACGGCGTCGTACGACACTCGGGTCCTCGTGCTCGACACGGCAACAGGGCAGCTCCTGCGAACCCTATTCCATGTGTGGCCCATGCCTAGCCTCATCTATGCCTCCGGCAGCAACTCCTGCTGGATCCGATCCGTCACCATTTCTCCAGAAGGCACTGGGATCGTCACCGTCGCTGACGACGGGTAAGCTGGTGATATGTGCTGTCGTCCGTTCTTGCTACATTATTTTCCAGATGAGCCAACCGTAGGCCATCTTCGTGGCTGAGTGCTTTCAAATTTATTGCAATACCAAGAATTGGTATTTATAATTATTCGCGTTGAACTCGTGCCGCAATGAGAATGGAAGTGGTTGAAATCAAATTGCCTTGTTGATAAGTCTGTTATTGAGCATCGATCTGGCTGAGATGAGTGAGCTGCTCGAATCTTACCACGCGCAGCATCCCTCCAACTTAATTGCTTAATTACTTTTAGCATATTTAAGCTTTATTTATTTTTGTGCATAGATTTTCAGAACACAGGAGGACAAGGCCTGTATTACATTCTACCATTTACATTACGAACCTCAACAATCACTTTCTCCTTCATAATGCATACCTGGGAATTTGCTGTGAATTGCAGGCTGGTGAGACTGTGGGATCTGGGCGACGAGACCAGTCCCGCTGCTGTTTTCCCTGTCGAGGCTCAGATGTCATGCTGCCGGTATTCGCCCAAGCAGAATCTCCTTGCTGTTGTGTGAGTTTTTCTCCCTTTCTTCACCTTTATTCATGTGAGATTGAGTGAGGTCGACTGTGTAAGCTGCTCTTCAAGCTGTGCTCCTTTAAGAAATTCACAGAATTCACAAAAAATACAATTCGTTTTTTTCCACGATCGATTAACTGCACTTCAAAATGAATGTCAGAGACATAAACTGCACTTCCTGTCATGAAATGGTACCAGTTGGGATGTGATCACACTGGTGATTTGCTGCAGTCCTGTTTACTTGGATGGACACATTGTAGAAAATATAAACCATTAGCACATCTGTTTTAAAACGAGACATTCTCTGAAACATTGTAACACTCATTCACACAAATGACATGAAATCAAAAATGTTTAATGAACATTATTTAATGAAAGATTGATTCCTAAACAGTTGCACATCATCTTGATCTGTATGTATAAAGTTGGAGGTTGAAAGTGCGAGTGAGTGTCCCCGGTTGGTGCTACGACTGGTGTTTTTGCAGGTCCGCATCATGGAAGAGTGGACGATGATAAAGCCAAGGGGAGAAACCAAGTACCGCTTTCGGAATCTCTGGTATTATCCCCGAGGCTCCCGTGTATTGTGTTGAACTTGTGCTCTTCATTCCATCAGATCCATCCTTCTTCCTCGGATCTGTACGGTACCGGTCGTCCCTCCCCGTGTCGCCTCGGTCGTTTCCTCGCCGTCGCCCTCACGAACCAAAAAATTCTGGATAGAGACAAATGACTCTGTTAGTCTCTTGTGTCCAGTCAAGACCAGATAAGACATTTTACTCCCTGCAGCAAAAGCTACTTCACAGTAATGGTAATATGTTCTAAAAATTAATTTCATTCAGCACTTTTGCAACCAAGCATCTTTGCTTGAGACCATATAAGGAGTAGCTTTTGAATGCTCCCTTGTAATACTCTTATGTGAAGGTCTTTGATGAGGAGCCTGCAACCATTTGTATTGCTTAACCTGCACACTGATGTGCCATATTGAAGTTTCCTGGTAATTTCAACTCCCTTGTGTGAGCACATATCATTGTATATCTATACAATATGAATCATATGGACATCTGTCCTTAGTAAGTAACTGATAATGTGATTGTGTGATGTCAACACCTTTTGAAGTTGAGTCACCTTACCATCAACTTTTCATGTGTGAAAAAATAAAAAAAAAATTAAGGCTTTTGAGTGATAATATGCTGCTTTTGCAGAAGAGGATATAATACTGATTCTATATTGCACTTCATGACCATATTGATACTCTATGTAGGCAGTAAGCTTTCCTTCTTGAAAATCTGTTTCATTCCTAAAGAGATTCCAAAAGAACAGATTTATCTTTCATATGTTAAACTGGGGATGTGGTATGCTTGTAGGACAACATGTGGGAAGCTGCTGCTGTTGGAGGCGAGTCCCAGTGTGCCGACCCTGAAGCATCTGGCGAGGCTTGCCGTCAGACGGCGGTTTTCGACAGATGACATCCCATGCCTCAACATTCCGGCCACCCTCGCAGACTTCCTGCTCTACCATGAATGGCTGTGATTGTCATCATCATCATTATCATCTTGCTTCCATAGTGCTTTCCTCATTGGCAGACTGAGCTCATCTGCAGAGTGCAAATCCCAATATCACCCAGCTACTGGGCGTGTTCCATGATCTCACCACATCGCAAAATTTGAGTTAGGTTAAAGCATTACCAGTATGGAGAATGGTGGACGGTGATGACTGCTTGGTTGAGCTTCGTACTTATCTTTGCTATCCCTGCTACCCTTCCAATATTTTGCCAAATTCAGTCTTCATCACGTTTGTCATTCTCATATAAGGAATTGTGATTTTTATTGTAATAAAGATACCCATGACGATTAACATGAAAAGTTTCATACCCTCAGCCATTCTTTGAAGGCCTGAGTTTCACGTTTTGCTTGCTTTTGCTTTTTCCAGATCCTAACTTTGAAAATTGTCAAATTTCCTTATGGATCTGAAATGCAAATTCTCAACTCTGCCACAAACCCTCATTGAGCATCTTTGTGGATCGAGATTGATGTTTGATCTGACAAGACCTGAACATATTACTTTCAGTTTTCAAGGTGGTGCTGGTTTTTTGTTTTCTGGATACATGGTGTCAACTGGCATCCAACATCATTTACATGTGTTTTGTGTTTTTTCAGTGGTATTCAAATTTGGTGCAATTATAGGGGGACTCTCTCACTATTTCACTTTTAGGATTCCATGTCCTCCACTTGCCTCTCCAATCAGTTCACTCGTTTCAACAATGGAGGTGGTTTGCAGTGCAGAAGTTTTAAAATTGAAAGTCTTCCATATTGAGGAGCTGTTGGGGCCCCCATATGGTGCCTCCTCTGCAGCATATGGGGTCCTGTACTAAGAATCATGAGTAATGCATGACCCGGTTGGAGAATCGCTCCCGATAAGCGTCTAAGAGGCGCCTTGTTTCATATCGGTGCAGGTATCATTGTCAGCTTTCTGTGAGGAAAAAAAAGGTGGGTCCTATACATGTCTTGATATGCACTGAAAATGCCATGCATTATTTCCTACATACATGAGGCTGTGTGGCATGGAGAAATAGGTAACCCTCATGCCTATAGCTATATATGGATTCGACTACTACCCTGTCACACTGGAGCATCTTAAACCACCAACGGACCACTTTGGTCAAGAAGCACTCATTCCCGGCGAAGCTGCCTCTGAATTTGATGAAGCCTTGCAGCCATGGTCGCGTCAACAAGGAGAGTGCTCCTCTTCTAAGTAAGTCACGATTGATCGTATTACGTGGATTTCGAGGAGACATATTGACGAACAGTCTCTGACTCAAAGGTTGGCTGATAAGTTGGTGGAAACCGATCGAATCCGCTAGTGGTCATACAAACTTGAAAGTGTTTTTGAGCTAAGCGCTGACCGCATCATTACTTTAAAAATCGTTTGAAGAGAAAATTCGAGAAGATATGGAGGTCGATGTGTACCATGGTTGTACCAGAGGTGCCAGATTGGACCAATTACCATCGTTCATACCCATCGAAGACGAGAATCTATTGCTGACGTCACCAAAACTTGAGTGGTTCAAATTCACCAAAAAAAGTGTGGATTTGGGCATTTCGCACACAGTCCTCTCTCCTTCACACAATACTTTCTCGAAAAACGTTTTAGTGGATTCATTAGATTTTGCATAACCCATCAGAATCGGCGATTTTTCTTTGAGTCAAAGATTGCGTGCTAAAAGAAAGTATGTACTCAGGTGCCCAGAGTTTGCATAGCCTTCAGAAATAAGGATTTTTGCCAGGTACAGCAGCCCCGTCCCAATAACCTCTCACCTTGCTCATCTCGGATGCAGTGGTATCGCCAGGGTCACTATCCATCGATGGACCCGCAAGGACTTTCATGTTTGGATTCATCTAATACTCCTTGGCTGAAAGAGCTCTCGAAGGGGGCTCCCTTCTGCATTGAAACCCCGATGGAAGTAGGGGTCATGGGAGGAGCCCCCCCCCCCCGGTGCTCCCCACTGCATATATGGCATGTTCTCTTTGAAGGGGCCTTCATGACCTTGGGCTACCCCATTACTCAAACGACGTCAAGATGAACAAAAAATATCTCTTTGGACTCCGTGTTTGGACATCCTTCTTCCCCGTTCCCAACCGACAAAGCTAAAGTACGCGTGTAAAACCCCTGTTGAATAAATTTCCATTTGGTTGACCCTCTGAGAATCACCCCACACCCCTAAAGACAGATGGGGCAGCCGCCCCGCTTCCACCTACGATGGGCACGCCACTGGGTGATCGTAGGGGAATCGGGAAAGCTAATACCAAAGAGGACGCCGATTTGATGAGAGGTGAAAATAATTTGAATCTGAGTCCAGTTCCTATCCGCGAGTGACTCGACGGACCAACAGACTCGATATACTCGCTACGTGTAGGTGAACCTCTCTGGAAATTTCTTCCAGGGTCGACAAATTTCTCAGCGGTTGGATCAGATTGACGCAGCGGGTGAGATCGAACGAGAGATCAGGGACGAGCATTCCGACGGCACCCAAGCCTCGACCATTTCGATCCTCTTGTAACAGGTAACGTCGCCACTGCCACAACCGATTCTGCTTCTTGTGTGTTTGAATAGACCGAATTGTGGAGAAACAACTTACCCCTCGCATTGAGTAGCCCAAGCGTTTTGGGATACGAGAAAATTACCCAGAAAAGTGTGGAGAAGCAGAACGTCTCACCCACGGATGAAAATGGCAGTATAAAGGATGCTTAGAATATTTTTATTCCTCCTCCTCTACGAGACATCCGCTTTCCATAAGACACTTCAGCAGAGGAGATCCAAAGGATCAGAATTGAAGTAGATGTGCATGGTAGAAACCCCGATGGTGTCGGTCACTTCGACGAGGCAGTTTGGCACGGGGTCCAAGAACATCTGCAACGGAATTTCACGATCGCGAGATGAAAAGGCTCAACCGCCACACCCTCTCTTTTTCTTCCGAATTACGGCCAGGCCAGAATTTTGCCAAAGGTGGGGTGGGGAGCGGGTTGTGGGGATGGCAGGTACTTCTCGGCCTGAGTTGGCGAGGCTGAAGTCCCCCCAACCCCCCTTTCCCTCACACGGCACTGTTTACGAAATTTATTTATGCGTTTTTCTATCATATTGTCGGCCTACCGACTTGATACGTTCATCGAACAAATGTGCGGGTGCTGGAAGAAGAGTTCCTTTGCATTTTCTCATTCTCGTCGTTCTCTCCCTCGAGAGGCTCGGAAACTCAGGAAAAACACCTGGCATGACTTTAACCCTATACGATGCGAAGGAACCTCACCCCCAAGGAGAAGGAAGGCGGATGCTCGAATCTCGGGCTCTCGTAGTAGCCGTGGATGCCCCATCCGAACGCCGTCAGCTTTCCGTTGTTGAAAAGGAGGAAGACGGGGAAGAAGTCGTCGCAGTCCATGTCGGAGGCGATGTTCAGCCAGTAGTGGTTCCCTGCAAACGCGGAATCACGTCCACGGATTTATGTCACCTGGGATTTACTCGAACGGAACCAAAATATCGACGAGTACGACCGAGTGTTTCAATTATATGCGGTGCAGGAGTCGAGATATTTTAGAATCGACTTTGACACGGCTCAAAATGAAGTCATCATCGCAAGTGCTACATTTATTTCTTTAAGCCACATTCGATGTTTCGCTCGTGTTCGCTCCGATCAGTGGCAAGAACCCCTGGGGTACATACGACCGATACCGTCTTCTAAATACGACTGATTACCTGCGCGACCCCAAGCGTGAAATGCGATCTAATGTGGCAGAAGGATGGAGACTCGTTTTACTCCCGCTCGCCCCATCGATCCATCCATACGTGTTCGAGGAAGTGGAAAAGATACTTTCCGTCTGGAGATCTCTCGTCGTGGAACGTGCGAGGGAACGAACCCATGGAGAAGAAGCAGGCCCCGAAGACCCATTCGGGATTATTGGGCATGTCTTCCTCGAAGAGGTTTTGCAGCCAGTGACCTTGGTCGGGGTCGGTCGGGTCCTCGCCGATCTGGAGGTACAGGCCCGTCCCCGTTCCCTCGGTCTCGAATTCCTCGTCCGTGCGACCCTCGCAGATTCGACCTGTCGGATGCGGTGAGTTACGGCGGGTTCGCGTTTCGTGGATGGGGGGGGGGCACGGACCGACCTGGGTCGATGAAATAGGCGGTGAGGGCGTACACGTCCACGTCGTCGATAACGTCTTGGCGAAAGATGCTCTTCTCCCCGAACGGGAACGTGTTCCCGTTCGCCGTGCTCTCTTCCACCGTTATCTGAAAATTTCACGCTCATCCGAGTGGCGTGTTGATGCAGAGTAAAAATTCGCTCAACATTGCAGACGGTTTCCTACCGTGGAAGGTCTGACTTAATGGACGAATGAGGAAATTTTTTTTTTTAACAGTTTCGAGAGAGCGAGAATTCGTGCTTTGCTTTTTTGCCCAATGGACGCGCACAAGTTAATTCTCAGAAAGGAAACCTAATTTCTCTCGTCGTGCTAATCGTGTGGGAGTGGAATGTGGAAAATCGAGGGGAGTTTCTGCGTGAAGAAATGCAGAATCTCATCGTCTTCGAGCCTTTTTATCGCCTGACTCATTCTCAAAACTGTTTCAGATAATGGGCACGGTGAAGTCGGCAGAGGCAAAGAGAATCTTCCAATTTTGTCGCCTATCCCTTCGTGGATTTGTGGATCTTTTCATCATCGAGGAACATTCCGCGAAATGACGTCATCTTTGCACGAGGACGATCGCGAGATTTTTCGCTAACGAGGAAGAATGCCGCGGAGACCGGGGCAGATGGAAAAAACATTTCTTACCAAATTAGGGATTCAAATATGCAGACCTTTGTCCTCGAGGATCGATGGGTCTATCGTTCCTCGGCAGCAAAAAAAATAGGAAGCAGCCATGAAGTCCGTATTGACATTGCGGCTCTCTCACCTTGGGAGGCTGAGGGCGTGTGATTCACGAGACGCAACACACGACGGGGAGCATCACGGGAGAAAAATATCAAATAAAAACAGGTAAACAAAAAAAAAACAGAACGTGGAATGTTGAACGTGACCTTCATCGATGATAGGAACCATGCACGGAATGATTGGAACCGAAGACTATCTCGTGGTATCGCGTGCACTTCCGCCGTATCGCGGCCTGGCGAAAACCCCCTTCGACCCACGTGATCATCGATTGTGGGGTTTCTCGAAGACGGGTGTGTACCTGGATCCCCAGACCACGACTCCACGTTTCAAGGCTGCGATAGTGCACGACATGCCACGCCGTATCGAACGATCGGTGCACCGCATGCGACTGGGTTTTCGGTTTAGGTTTTTTTTTCGTGCCATTGTGTGTCGTGCCTCTCGCGAACTTCGCGTCTCGACGCGGTTCGAGAGTTGCTCGCTGCGAATTTCTCGACTCGTTCGGGAGAACGATCGATATCGAGAATCGATGCTTTCGCTTCATCGCCCTATTCACTTCCTTTCGCTCTCAAAAACTTGACTCGCGAAAGAACAGCGTGCTGATAAAAATGTTTCTCGAGCTTTCTAGCTAATATGAAGGGTGACGAAATGAATTTCATAACAAAAAGTGCAACTTTCTGGTCTAGCCCAAATTTGCCACGATTTCGAGAATGAATCTTCTCGTTTCCACGTTTGAGAAAGTTCTTTACGCCCCTGAACGAGCAGGCAATAGTCACATTTCTACGTCATATACGTACCGGAGTCGGGGATCATTAACGAGAGCGACGTGAAAATTCAAGAAAAATCAGACGAAAATTTTGAAATTCCCGTCAGCTTCAAACTTCAGCAATAATGATAATTAGTCTACGAGGGTGGGTCTACAAAACAAGTCAAGGGTCTACAATGGGTCTCAACAAGGTTTCGATGAAGAGAGAGCCTGGAAATTCTAATTTGATGCTTCGCTTACCTTATCGCCTGCATGCCACATTGAATGGGGCTCTCTTTCTCGGAAGAGAATAGTTCAATCTCTCTCAAAAACTCAAAGAATTAAATCGATAGATTTAAAGATATACGAGTGCATTTCTATACATTTCATTCCCTCATTCGATTTTTAAAAAATTATTTAAAAACAAAATTAGCTAAGTAATGTTGAAGACGACATCGACTGGAAAAAGTAATGCTTTTTTTTTACGGCAGTTTGGTAGCCCGCGATGATGCCATTTTGATCGAAGATGAGGATGGCGGCTAAGTCCCCGTCGAGGGCGTAGCGAATCCCGCGGAACTGACCGCCGTCGCAGAGTTCCGCCTCGTCGACTCGCCTCCAGCCTTCCGCCTCCGCGTCCGACGACCTCAGCGGCATCGCGTCGAACACGCCCGGGTCGAAGGGATTCAGCCCCCAGGTCACTTGCGTCAGAGGCGAGGGTGGTTCACATGAGAGACTCCATTTAAAAAAATGAATTAAATGCAGAGATGGAATTTACCTTCGAGGGTTGACCATTCGGGCCCTATAAAATTGGGAGGAAACATTTTTTTTTTAAACAAAAACATCATCAATACAAACGGATGGAATGCACTTTGGTTCATATTAGATGCTTAAAAAATCGGCTGCAAATAAGAAACCGCAAAGAAAAGCAGACATCTATCGTTTCGTGCTCTGGGAAATGGTGCAAGGAACGAAGAACTATTGCGTGGTCCAACAACTTTGAGCTAGGGTGCATCCGTAAAAGAGAGAGGACGGGGATAAAAACTCGAGTCATCATGATATGGGTCGTTTCGCGGTTCAAGTAACATTCACCACTCATGGCGGCAGTTTGGGTAGAGACTTTATCAGGGAAATGTGCAAGGAACAAGGAATGGCAGGCCAAACGACCTTGTGCAAGGGCGCATCCGAAGAGGGAGAGGACGAGGACGAAAAGTCGGATCATCGTGATGTGGGTTCTTGCTCCGTTTATGTAACGTCCACCGCTCGCCCAGGAAGTTGTGAGAGAGAGACGAGAAATATGGCATTTATATCGACTCTTGATTACGCATCCAGTCGCGAATCCGGGAGAATCTCGCCACCTGTTCCTGAGAGTCGTGTCGTAATACGAAACACACGGGAAGTACCATTACGTAAAGTCAGTCGCATGGGTCTCCCAGTCCGAGGATTTCAGGAGCAGGGGAAACCCAACCCAAGCGAATTTGCACTGCGTTCATCTCGGCATCTCTTGAAGAAGGCTTAACGTACTAGTTGCATGTTCGGACAACAGATGTCACTAATTACCAATGCCTCCACCTCGTTCTTGAGCCCGTCTGGAGTAACGAATCTGTATACCGTCTGATACTAGTTTTACTTTTCTCAAAGTCATCCCATACGGTTCTGCGCCAGTCTATTTTTCATCTTTCTATAATCTAACCTTGGTTTCAAAGTAGTTTTGGTTGGGTGGGGCCGTGGGAGAAGATGGAGGGAGGTGGGGATCCTCCCATAGATCAAAACAACCATTAGCAGAGATGGGCATTCTCTACTCTCCGAGATCCAAGGATCGGTTGGCTCTCGTCTTCACTCATGCCTTGCCCTGAAAACGTTTACGAAGTGCCGGGTGATCACCCGAAATGAGGTATTTCAACGCTGCGATCGCATCGCGGATCATTGCTCAAACGGCTCTTGATGCTGAGTCAATAACATCGGATACCTGGTCACCACTTTTACTACTTGAAAATCGTCTTGAACCTTTTAATGCGAATCGTTACGTTTTATCGACTCCTATTGATATCTGAATCGATCACGTTGAAGTGCCAGTAACTATTATAGCTTGATTTATCGGAAAGAGTTCACATTAAAGAGTGGAAGCCCGCTACCGTGAGCTTGCACACAATAGGGTCAATTTTCCACCATGTGGCTAACACTAGGACAATTTTCCCACGTGTCCTTTGTAAACAAATGATTTTTATTACCTGATTTCGTTTAGACTGTGCTCTCGATTTTTTTTTCCATTCATGAACGCATCAGAATAGAATTATGAGAATATGTTTCTCTGAAATTGATAAGGGGTGTGGGTGGCCATTTTGTTAGGAGACGGGTCAATATTTGAGAGCTCAAACTCAATCATTTGAAATGGTCCTTCGATCTGTCCTCAATACATGCAATAGAGTAGATATTGTGTGATGCACATATAAACCACTTGCTGAGATTGTATATTGACACATGGGCATGCAAATTTCTACTATCACGTATGACAGTGATCATCATGCATTTGATATCGTGGAAATGAAGAGCTGATGCATGAAGTACCTGGTACTTCGAGAAAACTGGGTCAGTGGCTTTGATAAGAGATCTTAGATTCTTATTGTTGGGGGGGGATAACATCTTCGAAACAAAATACAAGCGGGCGAAAGAAAAACCTTGCACAAGTTAAGTCGTCACATGATGGACCGTTGACTGACCAGTGAACAAATGGCAAACGAAGAAAGAACAAAAGTTATTTCTCGCAGTCTAATTACATTCCACGATTTGGTCAATTCGACCAGGGGCCCCTATAATTTCTTTGAGAGCCCCCGGGGGAGGGGGGGGGAGTGTTGTTGATGGCGCCAGTGATGCCAATTACGTATTTGTGACCCTCAGTTTACGCATAGGTAACATTAGCTTCGATGCTCTGTGCAACTTTAATGCTCGAGGCGATGACAGAAGAAACATTCGATTCATCACGAAGTTAACATTGGAAAACTTTATATTGCCATGAAATTAGGCGAGAAGTTTGAAAAACTTCAGTTGTAAAATATTGCACAGGAGAAAGCATAATCTGAAAATCTAAAATCTGAAAAAGATTCAGAATGAGCTGCTACTTTTGGTATCGTAAGTGCCTGTTCTGAGGCAAGAGCTAATATTTTCAATCTCGAGGCGGAAGTTTCGGGATTCATGGAAGAGTTCCATAATGAAATCGCATCCGGGAAGTACTAGATGTAATACCCTATGTCATCGGGGAGACACGACGAAGAAGAGCGGGAAGCGGGGGAGCAGGAGTGAGAGAAGTGGAGGAAGATTGAAGAATCGATGCGGGTGGGCGAGACGAGGAGCGAGCGAGGATGCGCGCCGCCATGTTGTATCCGTCCGCCATGAGAGTCAGAGGAGAAAGAGAGCAGCGACGGAGCTAGGCGAGGGCGAGGCTGCATGTCTGCTAGGACCACTCGCGCTCGCTTCTGCTGCTTTTCTCCTCGTTCGCCGCATCGTCGTGAGTGGAGTGTGAAACATGCGATCCCGTGACGAAATTGTGAAGTCTTGAGTGATATGGAAGGGGAAGTACGGCCCCGAAATCGGCTTCGGAGGGAAAGGGCGCAACGGATGCGCCGGGATCGGCCCAACTTATCCTTAGGCCTTAAATCCCAGGAGGCTCGGCACAATCTGGATTCTGGTGAAGATGACGAACCAGTGAACAAAATCCGACCTCCTCGCCCGATCCCGAAGAAGAAGCGAAGCAAGGACCCTCTGTACGAAGAGGATATCGTTGATGGCTTCGCAATTATCTCCTTCAAGACTTACGACGATCTCCAGGTAGCCTAGGCCTAACGTTAAGCTTAAGTTAGCCAGGTTAACCTTGGTATTAACGACTGCCACGGACTCCATTCCCGTGTTCGAGCGTAGCGAATATTTTCGTTTGTCTTTATTGGTAGGATTGTGGTATAAGTGTGGGTGAGGGTATGATAGGCCTAAACCCAGGCCTAATGTTGAGTGAGGGGAGAGGCAAGAGAGCGAGAGCGTGAGCGTGGATTGTTGAACGGGGGGAGGCCGGGCCGGTCAGCGTCCTTCAGGCTTCTCTCTCTCTCCCTCTCTCTCCCTCTTTCTTTCAGTATGGGGCCTGCATGGATGAGGGGGTCACACGCCTCGCTCCTGTCTCTCTCGCTCTCTCTCGCTCGCTCTCTCCCTCTTTCTTCACTCCATTTCTTATTACTTACACCTACACGAAGCCTGCCTCTTTATCATCAGGCTGACAGCGTAAACGAAATATCATAACGATAGACTGTAACAAGACAGCACGGTATATAAGAAAAAAAAGGTAAGGTATTGGTATGAGAGAAAGACAGGCTATTACAAGCTTTACCCCCGAATTGTTGACTTCGTAACAAGAACGGGATATGAAAGGGGATGGAGAATAGGTCTACAGTAGGCTTTTTTGCGAATCCAGTTTTGCTGGCTAAGGTTGAATGGATTTTGTTCTCAATTGTATATCAGTAATGTTGACATTCCTCTTCTAAGTAGAATAGTTGATAACAGGGCTAACTGACAATCATTTAAAAACGAGGGAAGTTATCGAGAAAATGGAGTTGGATATAATACTGAATCTTGGAAGGAACAGAATGAGATGCGGATGAGAGGCCAATACATTTTTACCCCACCTCTTAAAAGTACTGGAGTCAGCTGAGCTCAACAGGACAGGAGATAAAGCCGATAAGCGTCTGGTGATAAGGAAATGCCAGACTGACCAGGCAACGTGACGCAAGAATGTGTGCCGTTTCCCCCAGATCGGCCAGGGATGAACAGTGTGAAAAATGTAGGGATTGGAAGGGAAGAGGAGGGAAGTTGGCAAGGGGGAAGACCAGGGCTATCGATCCCCCCTCCATCTTATATAGGCCTGCAACAAGAGCTTCAAGAGTCTCCCTTTACAGCCAGCCTCTTTCCACCCAACCATCACACTTAGAAGCCAAGACGCATTAAAAGTTTGCACTCGTGAAATAAGAATTGACAAGTGGGAAAATCATTTGAGCTGTCCAGAATCATTTTCAAGCCTGGCTTTTTTTTTGTCAATGGTTGGAAGAGGAGGGAAGACTCGATAAGTGTTCTGTCCGGTTCTAATGAAAGGGAAGGAATAGAAGAGTCTGGGTAGCCTGAGGGAATTTCTCCATAGGGCGCTCTCTCTCTCTCTCTCTCCCCCCCCCCTCTCTCTCGCTCCCTTCGTTTTCTCTGTTTTTTTTTTTTGTTACCCGTCCCTTGCCACTTGTTGCGCAGCATCCGTTGAGCGGATTCTTCTTTTTTTTCTTATCCCCTCGCACGGTGCGTGCTAGGTTCACCTTGACTTGAGACTTTTTGCCCGACACGTGTGCCAGCATTGGCTTGCAGTTTCTGTACGAGAGTGGCAGATGGATAATTCATAGGCACATATTTCATCTTGGCCTCTAATTTACCTCTGCCGCCCAATCCTGTTTAACTTTTAATTGGTATTTAATTACTTTTTCATCCTCTTGGCTTGGAAGATATCGTTTATCTGTGCCTGAGACCTGCGGTTTTGTTGAACTATTCTTATGTATCTGCTGATCATTATCACAAATATATATATATATATTCTTCTATTCAATCTATAGGCACACCTTGAATGACTGCAGTTTCACTCATTCAAGGTGTGCCTATAGATTGAATAGAAGAAGACTGTAATGTCCAGCAATACAGTCAACTTACAAAGCCATGAATACCATAAACTGCTGGACGCAAAGCAAAACGTTGACAGTACCAGACAGCAGGTGTTACATGAGTAAAGAACGTAGATATGAAGAGTAGTTGGCCAGTTTAGCAATTACCCGAATGGGGTAACACCGGGTAGATTCATTCTCATGCATTCTCATTCATTCTCATTCATTCTCATGCATTCTCATTCATTCTCATTCATTCTCATGCATTCTCATTCATTCTCATGCATTCTCATTCATTCTCATTCATTCTCATGCATTCTCATTCATTCTCATTCATTCTCATGCATTCTCATTCATTCTCCCCACCATCGCCTTTCCTAGTAGAACGTCGGTTCCGCTCACGTGGGTGCCCCGTGGTTCCCGCACACCAGCGCCACTCTATCGTCACATATTCTGGGGACATACACTCGGTCTTCACCACGTTCTTTCACGTTCCAATTATAGATACGGGAGTTTTTCGCGCTCAGAGCTCTCCTATTCCAAAAGG